GAATAGAATAATAGGTTCAGAATAGTGAAAGCTTACGATTTCAAAAATAAAATGCGTTGCGCTTATTTAGAATACGAGTAAGCGGATTATCTTTGTACAAAATTTCTGAATGAATAAAATAATTTATTTCTGAAAAAATAAAATGTTAAAAATTCACTAAATTATTGGGTAGTTAAATAATTTGAATTTAAGCAATTTTTACAAACATTGACTTGACTAATTAAAAGTTTAAAATTGCATTACTAAATAAGTTAAATTGTCGTCAAAACTAGATTTTTGTAAACCATTGTTAAAACATTTGGTTAAAAGTTCTATGTTTTTGTCAATATATTCCCAAATTTCATGACAAATGGTTAGCCTGAAATCACATTTCATGCCTGCACATATAGAATGTATCGTACTTTTGGACTTGTATTGTTTTTTTTTCCTTTTTCAACATAAAAAAATAAAAATAATACTAAATTTTTAACCATTATAATGTTCCGCTGTGAAAATATACACATATACCTTTTTGTATACATTTTTTTTTTTAATTTCGTTTGGAAATGTAAGCCTATATTGTGATAAAAGCCCTTTTTTTCTGCACAAATAAAAAAAAGCAAACGTTTGTACACACATATGCCTATTGTAACTGTGAATAACATAATATTTACTAAAATATAGTGTATCAGTTCTTTCAAAAATGTTTCGTTCTAATGTAAATCAATGGAAATTTATGGTCTGAGTAATTATAGGAAGACTATAAGAAAAGTTCCGATATTCATCTATGTCATTTAAAATTAAAAATAATTAAAAGGATTTCATCTAATGGGCCAATAGCTTTGGTAACACACTAACATCCTTTGCAATAAAACTTTTCAAATATCTTTCGTATACTTCTCAATATCTGGATTCTGACATACCTAGAATAAAGGATATGCAGTTATTTCAATAAGTTTCAAAGTCTTCATGTGCATTACAACATTTTGTTGTATTACAGCATTATTATCAGTTGTTATTATCGTTTTAATTACAATATTTATTAAGGATTAAGTGTGTTAAACCTAATAAGAATGTTAAATCTTGACAATCAGATGGCAATAAACAAATTACTTAAAATTATTGGTTTATTTAAATCGAATAGCATGCCATTTTCATAATATTTGCAAAACTATTACGTATATTGCAACAACTTGAATATACAGCAACAATATAATTATAACAATCTGTCAGCAGCATTAAAAATATTTTTGTATCATAAGTAAGTAATATTGTCCTGCCTAAACATCAAAAAATTCAAAAACTCTATAATAATTATTCTTTTAATTTCGTTCCTTTTATGAGTTTCCAAACGTTTTTCCAAATCTTTCATATTTCCTGCATTAATTCAAACCTTATATTTTATTATCCTGATTCTGAGGGTAAAGCAAAAAATCATCTGCTTTTGTTCATTTTATACGTGATAACAAATCATTATCCTCTTTTTTTATTTTAGTTTTTTTTTCCTGTGTTAAAATTTTTATACACAAAAAATTTTCTTTTTTTCTTATTTATATTGAGAAAGGATCATTTTGGTTACGTGTATAGTATGATGGAGTTAATATTAAATAAAACAAAAACCAAAAAGAAAGGACAATATAATTTGAAACAAAAAAAAAAACATGAATTGAAATTATTTTCGAGGTACTTTCAATTTATGCTGGAACGACCAATGAAAAAGATGGATGAATAAGTTTTTCATATGAAAAGGAGTATTTTTACATGCGAACTGAAAACAAAATTTATTGCAACAATAAAATCCGCGAATTCTTTAGAATTAATAACCTGGACAGGGATGTTTATATGTAAATTTTTTAACAAAAAACAAAAGCCCTAAAAAAAATCAAAAAATAATTCGAAAAATGAAAAAAAATTAATTCCGAATATTTATTGTGAGAATTTTACATTATTTACGCAAATAAGCAAATAAAAGTAAAGAATGACTAATGAAATATTCAAATTTAGTTTATGTGCTCGTGCTACACGTAAATTTTATGTTAAATTATCAAAACCATGATCCGAATCAGTAAAAGAAGAACTAACTTGGAGTTAGTTGAACTGGGAGCTTTTCACAGCTATTAACAATGCAACATTATATTGCTTTCTAGCTTATAAGAAGCTTTGCAACTTATTTCTTAAATAAAAATTACCCAAGTATTTGCTTATCAAAATTAAAACTAATTTTTGTAATTGAAAAGTTATTCCAATAATTTTTAAATTTTTCCGTCTTGGTTACAAAAACAAAAAAAAACTAATAGCAAGCGTTTTAGTAAAAGATTAGTCTACCTTTATGGGGAGGTTACAATAATGATAATGGGGAGGAATACAGGAAGTCGAATAGCTTTGTTGTCAACACACAACAAAGTTTTGATATATAATCAAATATTTGGTTCTTTCTGGGCTTACGGTATTCAATTATGAGGCTGCGTTGCGCAAACTCATATTCAATCTATTCAAAGATTTCAAAATAAGGTATTACGAGACATTGTAAACGCCCCATGGTATGTTCGTAATGGCGACACAAACAGGGATCTCAAAATCCTAAGTGTCATAGACGAAATTAAAAAGCAAGCTGCCAATCATAAAATACGTTTATCCAATCATGTCAATATCGAGGCGGCTCGATTGGTTGACAATCAAAATTTTTTTAGGAGACTTAAACGCAAGAGACCTCTCGAGTTAGTTTAATGTTTATACCCGTACGAACGTAATTTCGAAGGGTATACTAAATTTGCCTTACCGTTTGTAACGCTAAGAAATAACGGTCTTAGATATAGACGCAAGTGTATGTTTTTGATCAGCGTCAAATTCTGAGTTGATTTAGCTTTGTCTGTCCGTCCGTTCGTGCGTCCGTTCGTCCGTCCGTCCGTCCCAACGATAACTCAAAAACTAATTGAGCTAAGTTCACCAAATTTTCACAAATGATTTATTGTAGTAAGTGCCAGAACTCTATTTAAATTGGACATGATCGGGGTACCGGTTCGGGTAGCTGCCATACAACTTCAAAATTTATTTGGCTATATCTCAGAAACTATAAAAGCTATGGTATTGCAATTTCACACAAACGAATATATTAGTAGAGCCAATGTGTCTGATAAAATTCGTTGAAATTATTTGGCTCCTTCTGATACCTGCCATACAACTTCAAAAGTTATTTGACTATATCTCAGAAACTATAAAAGCTATGGTATTGAAATTTCACAAAAACGAATATATTAGTAGGGCCAATGTGCCTGATAAAAGTCGTTGAAATTACTTGGCTCCTTCTGGTACCTGTCATACAACTTCAAAAGTTATTTGGCTATATCTCAGAAACTATAAAAGCTATGGTATTGAAATTTCACAAAAACGAATATATTAGTAGGGCCGATGTGCTTGATAAAATTTGTTAAAATTTCTTGGCTCTTTCTGGTAGCTGCCATACAACTTCAACAGTAGTTTGGCACACACAGTATTTTGAAAAACACATTGTACTGAAATTTTTCATAAATTAATATACGGCAACTCCATAGTCAGTTATGACATCTTTATTCGAACATAGGATAACGAATTCGTACGGGTATCACAGATAAGGTCAACTCTATTTTTTTCTCATTTTTATCTGAAACAATAAGTACTTAGTACGTAAATAATCAAAAAAGTTGGACAAAAATTAATTTGTTAGTCATTTCGGACTAGTTTTATAATTTTTAGAGGAGGTTGTTTTTTAGTGGATTACTGTTTCACACTACTGCTTTCTGTCAGGCAGTGTCTCTTGAGATTTTTCGCCCTTCCTCTCGGTAAAAAAAAAATATAATCTATGAAAGATTCGATAAGAATATTACCCTCAGAATAACAATGGACTATGACTAAATTAATTCAGAATAAGATATATAATGTATAATCTTTTACAAAATTTCTGAAATATGAAAACAACCTGGACTAATTAATTTATAAAATCTACAATTATTGTCGTATGAAGTATCTTGTCTGACTTGAATTCAAGATGATTAAATAGTACCGCTTTGTTTTAACAATATTTAATTTTTCTCACAAATTTCTTGTTGTACCAATATTTCATTATACACATGCAATACAATGTTCCCTTACAGGTACAATAAAACAGACTCCAGTCCACAAAACAAAAAAAAATAGAAATGTTAACTAAAGCAAATTTATTCACGAAAATATTTCAAAACATTCCACGTATACTACAGTGGAATATGAAACACAATAATTATGTTATCTCGACCAAACAACTGCAACTGCATTCCGTTTTCTTGTAACATCAATATAATTTTTCACAAAATTTAAAATGGTCAATTTAACCGGCAAAGGCAAAATCCTAAATTTAATTTTCGAAAATAGAAAAAAACAACGCAATTTAAATGTAAGAACACTTGTTAGAATTTCAATAACAATTGTCTAGGTAATTAAATATCAAGTCAGAAACTCATCTGAAGAAACGAGATCTTTTATAAATTCTTTATTGTAATACACAATTTGTAATATATTTTTAGATTGAACTCACTTTTTAATAAGCCCAGCTATCAATCATACTTATTACAAAATCTATACTTTGTCTTAAGTAAACAAACTGCAGATATAGCAACACAGTGATAACCTTTGAAAATTTTTTAACGGTTAAAATTAAATAATGTTCTCGTAAATAGAGCATAATGTTTAATTTGAACTTGTATTGTTTATAAACATCTGTTTTAATATAAATTTGTTTTCATCATTATCATATTTTGAAACATAATGTCTAACGATCGTTATAGTCAAATATTTTTAATCTAAGAGTAGAACAGTGATAATAGAGATGAGTATAGGAAAAACATAACACAGAGAACATACAAAACATAAAACTCAAATTATGAGATTAAGAAATTTTTTTTTGAAATTAAAACAGTTTCGAAACGAACTTGTTAGATGAATGACCTATAGAGCGCGGACAAGCAGTTTTTTTCTTTATATTTAATATAATGCAATTGTTAGAACTAAAAGAAACTAAAAAATAAGTGCATAATCTCAAATTACATAAAGTGCATTTTGTATTTGTGCAAATAAACGTGTGTTTTTTTATTAAATTGATAACCGCATGGAATTTTTGGGATTACTTAAGGTGTGTACTAATATGAATTAGATGCTAAAAATTAAAAATTTTTTGAAATAATTTTGTAATATTCAAATTTTATAATCAATTATAAAAATATGATTTAAATTGTTAATATAATAAAAATTTCAACGTTCTTGCAAGAGTTTTTGCATAATCAGCCATTCTTATTTTAAATCAATATCAAATTTCGTTTTCATAATCGTTACCATTGAAACTTATGAAAAATGACTTTTTTAAAATGGGTGTAATTTCACTGTTCTATGAATTTAGATAAATTTTTTGTGAAGTTTCTGTGTTTCTATTAGTTCCACTGAAAAAAAAGTTGTACAATCAAACAACAGGCTATTTATGTTTTAAAAGTGAGGTTTTACATTTAATTTTTAAAGCTTTTACGTTTACTTTTTAACTTTTCAACAGTAATTTTCATATTAGTTTGAGCTCATTAGTGTTTTGACTCTTGGTGACCAGATCGTAGGCCCAGAAATGTTCAAATATATTTTGAAACTAGAATTTCGATTGATAGATCAAAAATCTGTTTAACCATATTTTAAAGCAAAAGCAATGATGAAAGCGATCTAGATGTTGCACTTCCATGTACATAAGTGATTTTAAAAGAAAAATCCATAATTCAGGAAGAAAATTTCTTACTTTAATTTTCTTTTTAAAAAAAAACTACTACCTTCGGACATTAAAATAACATACCTGAAATTTATAACCCTAACATAAAACATTTTGTATATCTATACACTCTCCTTTGTTCCGTTGCAAAAGTCTAAAATTTAAGTAAATTCATATGACAAAACAAAAAATTTCCGCTATTCCGCTATTTGCTTTTAAGCCATAAACTAAATATAATCCTTTATAAGCAGCTCTTGACATTTCTCAGATACAAGATTGCTAATCAGCTCTGCAAGGTAAGGTTTAACTCTACAAGCGTACTATGTTTTAGAACACGTTAATAAACGCAAATCTTATATGTGTGAAAATCTACTCACTAAGGGCAAACTATGTTGTTTTTAAATTAAGTTTTGACAGCTACTCGTACTACTGTTTGTAAATTGAAAGATTAAGAATCCGAAATAGATGCTGTGAAATTTAGAAATAAAAACTTTATGCGTTGTTTTCTATACAATGAACAAAGAAAAGTTGGCAACAATCTTATTTCAATTTTTGAATATTTTAATATTAAAAAAGTTGTTGCACACTGCTTTAAAAAAAATGTTTTAAAACTTTATCGAGACGAACAATAATTTATTAATAATTAATGAGTTGTCAAAATGGTTTTATTAGGACAAGTGTTTACTTATGCTAATTTTGAACTAGCCATTACAACTTCTTACAAAACGACCTTATATTTTTAATAAAATACACTTAGAAATTTTCTAAATTTCCCCAAAAAAAACTCATCAGATCCTTCGTTTTATGAACATTTACATATGTGCATATACATAAATTTTATGCAATTACTTTAATATTATAAAATTTGAATTCAAATTTAATTTATTTTTTGTTTTTACAGGTTTCATTTAATTGCAAAATAGAGAATGAATAAATTAAATAAAAAATCATCTGATTTATACTTACCTACTTTAAGATCATACCAAACAGATTTTTATTCAAATTCAAAACAATATAATAATAAAGTAGAATTTGAAACTCAAGCATTTTTATTCAGTGACAAAGAAGATGGAAACGATGCTCTTATAATGAAAGTTAAAATTGAAAATTGTTATCTTGAAATGGAAATTGATTCCGGATCAAAATACTCTGTAATTTCGGACATCTGTTGGAGAAAATATTTTCCATTTATAAATTTAACCCCATTCCATATTAATTTAGTTGTTTTAACTGGAGAATATGTTAATGTTTTAGGATGTATAAAAGTACATGTAAATGAAATCAATGAGATCAACAACAAAAAGCATTATCTGGAATTGATTGTAATAAAAGCAGAATATCAGGCAGATTTTATACCATTGATGGGTCGAACATGGATAAACATTTTATTTAAAAATTGGAAATTATTTTTTACACAAAATAACATTGAGAAATTTTCATCAAAAAAGCAAAATTTAAGAGAATCTTTATTAAAATATTCAAATATTTTTAAAAAAGACTCACATATTTTTATCAATGATATTTCAATTTCAATTCATTTAAATAATGCTGCTCTACCGAGTAAAACCAAAATTCGTCCTATACCGTTCGGATTACGTAATAGAGTTAATAATGAATTAGACCGTCTAATTAAATTAAATGTTTTAAAACCAATTAAATCCAGTTGTTGTATATGGCCATTAGGTATATTCAAAAATAATGATGATTCAATTGAAATCTTCCCCGATATAACGGGATACCAAAACGCTTTCCATATTTTGGGATATAAAGAATTATTTTCAAATCGAGAAAATATTCTTTCAGAATTCATCGGTTGTAAATATTTTTGTAAAATGAATTTGAACGATATTTATAATCAAATACGAATAAAAGAAGAATATCAAAAATATTTTACAATTGCAACCATCAAAGGTTTGTTCTGTTTTACAAGCTTACCATTCGGTTTAAATATAATACCACAATGTGTCGATTATATTTTAAATATAATTTTAAAAAATTTGAAATTAACAAAAATTTATAAAAATATTCTTTTAATTGGAGGTACTAGCTTAATTGAATGTAAAGAAAATTTTTGGAAGGTGTTAGAAAGATTTAAAATTTATAATGTGAAAATTAATTATAAAAATTGTAAATTATTTTATAATAAGATAACCTTCTTTGGTTATACATTAAGTGAAGATGGAATTTTACCTCAAATTGAAAATATTGATCTTAAACATTCAATAATATTTTCAAATTGCCAAGAATTTTATAAATTTAAAGAATGCAAATTTTTAGAAAATTGTAAAAAATTGTTATGTGATTCAAATTTATTTACACATTATGATCCAGACCAAAAAATATGTATTGTAAGTGCTGCCAGTTCTATTGGAATTGCTGGAACTCTATTTCATCTTTATAATAATGATGATTCAAAACCAATAAAATTTTTTGCTTCAAAATTAAATAAAATACAAAAATTTTATACAAAATTAGAAATTGAAATTTATGCAATAATTTATACAATTAAAAATTCTTTAGAATATTTAATGGGACATAAATTTTTAATATATACAGATCAGAAAGAACTTGAATTATTATTAAGTCCATTTCAGTGTCAACAGAATTATCATCATCATCATCATCATTATCATCATAACTATACTCATCATTTGCGCCAATATAGTAGCAATAAAAGAAATCAAACGAATATAAATCTGAAAATTAAAAATTATAGAATCCAACAATGGCTTTTATATTTAAACCAATTTAATTATGAAATAATTTATAAAAGGACTTCAATGATTTTATATTCACATTTATTTTCTTATTATCCTATATTTATATTAAATAAAAATTCTGATCAAATGAATTCAAAGAGTTATCATAAAATTGAAAATGAAAATGAAATTGAATATTTTGAAGAAAATATTTTCAATTTAAAAGATTTATTAAAAGGATTCCCAATCGATTTTAAATTAATTTCGAATGAAATGAATTCAGATTATTTTTTAAATAAAATTAAAAATTTTATAATTCAGGATAATGTACGGCAAAACAATAATATAAATAACAAGAATAATAATGATATTGATGATATTTTAAAATTTAATAATAAAATATATGAGTTAAATTCAAAAACTATTCCATTAAAATTTTCAATACAAAATGATTGTTTATTATATGGTATAAGATTATGTATTCCTGATTCATTTAAAATAGCGATATTAAAGATATTACATGATAATCATTCGAATACATTTCAAATGAATAAAATTGCTAAAATATCAGTATGGTGGATTAATATTGAAAAGGATATTGAAATGTTTGTAAAAAAATGTGAAATTTGTAAATTAAGGAAATGAAATTTTGTAATAATTTAATAAAATATATTGTTGTTTTAAATTCGTATAGCTAATTGAGATTTTTTTCAAAATTTGATACATAATATAAAAGTTTTTAAAATTCAATAAAATCTTTCAACAATGAATGAATTTTTGAAGTACAAAATGTATGCTGTTATGTACTGCAATATTTTTCACTGTTTCTAAGGATTTGTAAAAAGATTAGGCGGAAATTGGGCATGATGATTTTAACTTACAATCGAGTAAAAAAAATTTTTTATTAAAAACACTAGAGCGCGCACAATACAGCGAATAGGATAACATAATCATGTAAAAGTTCATACACGCTTGTATGCATTTTTACAATTCTTTTTAATTATTTCATTCAAATTGAAATTAAATGCAGAGATTCGGTCAAAATACTAAAAAATCAAAGCATTTTCTAAAATTCAATATTTTATCTTTTTTAAAACAAAATTTTTTAAGAAAAAGGCTATAGTATCTAAAAAAAATAAAATTCTACAAAAGGTAAGTGAAAAATAAATTTTGCTATTAAGTTCCTTAATAGTTGCAAATTTAATAAAGCAAAAACATTCTTTGAAACACATAACTCTTTATTAGCAAATTTTTTCATACCTATGCATAATATATTCAATATCTAACAAGAAAATGTATAGGTCCCTAAAACTACCTACACAAAGAAATTATTATATGATCATCAGCACATCAGAATTGCAAAATTTCTACTAAGTTACATCAATTTTAAATTTAATTTAAGATGCCTTATACCTTATGATGTCTGGGAGTAATAAAAACGTTTCGAACATAAATTCTTTTTTTTTCTCTCTTTGTTAGTTATAAAATTTTAATGAAAAATTTTTTTTAATCTTCAATTGAATTAAATGCTTCGTGTATAATGGAAAATATAAAAAAGAAAATTTTCTTTTAACAAACATTCATACACATACATTAACAGTATAAATAATGTATATAGGCACTTATATATTATATGTTTGTGATAAAAAAAAGGGTTATAAAAGTTATTTGAGAAAAAAAACGCTCTTATATTTTAACAAACACATTTAACTGCACTCATAAAATTATAAACGCTGCATGACCTTGAAGAAAACTTTTCACCATTATTAATGGAAAATTGAGATGAAGGATACGTATTCAATTTTTTTTATTGAATTTGAAAGAAGAAAACTTTTCATATTTTATTTTAAAATTTTTTTTTAAACTTTACTTAAAGTTTACTCAAGAGAAAAATATTATTTTAAAGTAACATAAAGGCTAAATAATAAGTTCGATTAAATTTTACATTTGGGGACGACAAAATAAATTGTCTAGCTATGGAAAAATTGTAATTTAGAAAAATTTATTTATATTATAGACGAAGAGTCATAGTAAATTATTTATTTAACTACATGACTTTTGCAAAATATTGTTACAGGCAAAATTGACACTAATTGATTATACAATAACGCGCTGCACGTTCTACAAAATAAACTTTTTTAGAAAATTCTATGGTGGCACAATATGAAAATTCTATTAAAATTTTTTTAATATTGTAACTTAATATTATTGCATACATTCAAGAGAAACACTAAAGAAGAAAAAATTTATACCATGTTAGTTTTTATTGTTACCGACCGTATTTTATTTAACATGGGAGGTTATGTGATGGCAACTAATTTTGCATATCGAGTTTTCGATGGAATTACAGTTTTCTATGATAGGAAAGCGCAAATAACCTTTTACTTAGCACGATGTCGGTCTGTCGATCTTTATGTGTAATTGTGTACAGGTATCTCAAGTTTGGCTGAACCGATTTTAATGCGAAAATTTTATATGTGAGTTTATTTTGACTATGGCATGGATTGATAAACTTTTTGGATATGCCAGGTCTCACGTTCAGCACCTTTTTAAGAACTGGTTTTATATTTTCGATAACTTTAAAGAAATTATTCGACAGATTAACTGGGAATTTTATATTCTACAACATTTTCGCTAAACTAGACAATAAACCTAGCGAAGGGTTATGTGCTGATCAAATCAGATTTTATTTCTCAATGTTTTTATGAATGTCTTTTCCATATTTTTAGAATCTTCTAGAACTGTTATTTTTTTTCATTCAAATGTTTTCGTTACGGTTAACAAAGGTTTTGTTAGTTACTACAAAGGCCAAGAAACGTTAATTATAAATATTATATGCATTTGTAAAAAAATTTATAATAACGCTCAGTCTAACTTTAATTTTAATTGGAATGAGTATAATATTAGAATGGACTCTTGAAATGAGTGTAATATTAATTAAAACTTAAAAATGGAAAAATTAAAATTATTTAAGATTTCAGTTAATTATTTAAGATTTTGTTCTTTTCCTACCAATAGAGTTTTTTCTTTTAATTTGTTGCTAATTTATGTATATACTCGCCCTTTATCTTCTTTTTAGTAATTTTCCAAAAAAAAATTGGAAAAAATTGCTTATTAGCACAATTCTGTTCACCAAACCGTCTGCCCGCTTCTCCGCCCGTTCGTCTATCCATGTGTCTGTTTACAAAATTTCTACACCCTTGAAGATAGAATGCCGAAATTTTATACATTCATTATATTAATTTTATACATTAATTAAAGTAGCATTTACTGCAAATTTATTTCGCTCCCTCTTAAAGTTATAGCTCCACAAAGACGTAAAAATCCAATTTTTTGACTATTTATTGAACAAAACCATGGGCAATTTTAAAATTTTTCAACCGCAGAAACGTAGTTGCCGACAATAAATCTAGAATAATCCCCAAATTTAATAAGTTTTAAATATTAATAAATATTTTATTGCGTTAGAAAAAAAAATTTCATTCTCCACCCTCTCTTGAGTAATCGTCCCTCAATATTTGCAAAATTAAAATTTTCGGCATCTTACAAATTTTTAAATTGTAAAGTTTTAATAATTAATATAAATGCAAAATGCTAAATATCATGCTACCAAAAAATATAATTTTTTTCTTAACCCACTTGCTAATCGTACAATTCAACCAATATGTTGAAGCTTCTCACAATTTTTTGTTTTCTCATCCTAGATGTATGCAATAGTTTTATAAATATATAATTAATTGATATAAAATGAAATTAATTTAAATAATGTAGTGAATTACTTTTTACAAGGATTATTTTCTCTTTTAAAAGGAGAAGTACTTCATTGTAATCCATTGATTATAACCCAACTTTATATTTTTTATATGCAAAAAAAGTTAAAAACGTTGCTAGAGGTAAATTTGTAAAACCGGAATTTGTAAAACAGTATAATTAAATATGAATACTTATATTTATAATAAAACATGAATAATTTTTATAATTCTTATATTTTTAAATGACATATAAAGCAGTAAAACCCTATATATAGCTTAAACTCTGGATTTTTATAACTATACTATTTTTGATAGAAATATCTATTTTATGATTTTATTATTACAATCATAGCAGAAGAATTTGCAAAACTGCTTACTTTTGCAATCAAAATCATGTTACCAATGTATGGAAAACATTGGCTGCATTTTGTACTTCTCATCCTTATAATATCAAACATATTCGGTTGGAATTTGGCAAAAATAATCTTCTAATTCAATTTGAATTTAAACTGAGGCCGTAAAGAATTTTATTTTTTAAGACTTACTTCAAATATCTATATGAAATTAAATTGTCCACATAATTTTATTTTATAATAACTTAAAAACATTATAAGGATAATAAACACAAAAACGCATACATATACATTAATTTAAATAGTTTAATTAAATTAAAAATAATTAAAAAAATAATAAAAAATTATTTTGGAAATCAAATATTTTTCCTGAAAGTTGTATAAAAAAAATAATATTTTTTTTTTTTTGTTAATTTTTTGTTTTTTAAGTAATTAGAAAAATTCTAAATCCACAATTTATATAAAATTAATAAAATTTACTTATGTTACATTGCATACTCTCATATAAGTATAATAAAAAATATTTAATTAAGAAAGATAATATTTAAACTAAAATGGAAATGAAAATGAGAAAATTATATTTTTTGTATCTTTATGTACCTTTGTATATACATACTTATATTTTACGTACGTTTATGCGTATATAGAGTAATAAATGTTTTAATACTTTTGTAAATTAAATTTATTCACCACAAAAACTCATTACAAACTTTTACTAAATTACAATTTATGTTTAACATATGTAAATTATTACTATTTTATAATACGCATATATACAAGTGCATAAGCACATATTCATATACATATAAAATATTTATAGGACATCTTTCTGGAATTTGCACATAGCGTTGTATATCCTTGCATACTCATATGTTTTTAGTAAAATATTTTTGATAAAATTTAAGTCATAATTACACAGAAGCAAATAATTCTTCTAAAACTTTATAATAAAGAAAAATTATCTTGTCTTCACTTCATTCATGAGAGTGTGTACTTATGCATAACTGTAAATTTGATATGTAGCCATACCTCCGTTAGTAGTTGTCTGTTTATATAAATTGTGTATCTCCATTTATTATAATTATTACAAATGTGTATTTAGTTGGGTTTTTGTATGGCTTTCACTTTAAAACAGATTTTTATAATTTGTGTACACAACATTGGATTGAAAAGATTATAAAAATAAAAAAATGTGAAAAAAAGAAACTAGAAGAATTTTTG